CCCCAAAGATTGCATGTGTGTAACATACTTTTTAAACTTAAGTTCATATTTTTAAAGAGTTCATGTAGTTGCAATTAAGTCTGTCTATAAAAGGAAATGCAAGGAGTTTGTAAATACAAGTTTCAGGATGAAGGTTAACTCAGGGAATCCATGATGATGGAATTAAATGAAATAAGGTGAGGAGGATCACACAGATTTCTGGCATTCATTTAGGTGGGAAGTTCATTATTATTAAAACTAAGTGCAGTCTTTGGATGAATGATTCAAGTGTGGTATAAATTTAAGAGTTATGACTAATCACTTTGAGTAGCCTAGGCTAATAGATTCTTTTTAATTTTTTTTTTCTTCACCAGTTTAAACGAAGTTTGTGGCTCCCACATCAATATTTACCAAATAGGAGCATAAATTGCCCCTCAAGGTTTCTTTTTTTAACAAAACATATTTTCTCCTCACCTCGTTGATTTCAAAGTGTGTGTATGTTTAACCAAGTAGACCAAATTCATACATTGAAAAACTTCAGAAAAAGAACATTCTCCTCATCACCTGAGCTATTATCATGGAGAACTTCTTAGCAACTGTGGCCACTTTGATCGCCATCTATCACGTCTTCAGGTTTACTAATCTACAATCTTATGCTAACAATATCTGGGTTTTTTGGGGGGGTGGTTGGTTTTGTTTTGTTTTTGTCTCAAACATTTTGGGTTTCAGCTCTGATTTCAAATTGAGTCTTATTTATATCTCACTTGTGTCTATGCCCCATTCATACCCTAGTTCAGTGATGGCAAACCTTTTAGAGCTTTGAATGATACCAACACCTTATTGTGGTAAATGTATCATGTGTTCACTACACTCCTTTAAACTCTTGAGATATTAATATACTAGGTAATGTTAAGATAATTATTGTACTTGTTGACTATTGTATTGGCCTTGTCTACTGATTCTATATTTGTCATTTCTAGGCCACTCTTAATTGACTTCTTTCTCTCATCCTAGGTTATGGTTTCCTTGTTCTTTGAATGCCTGCTCATTTTTGGTTGCCAGGCATCATACATTTTAACTTGCTGGATATTGGGTTTTTTTAAATTAGAAATAACCTTAAGCTTTTCCCTACAGTGCAGTTAAGGTACTTGGAAGCAGTCTGATCCTTTGATCTCTTGCTTCTTTTGTTTTGAGAAGTACAACTAGGAGGGGAAGTCTAAGGTGTACTCTTCTAAGTACTCTACCCAGTGTCATGAATTAAGAGATTTTTTTTCCACTCAGCCTGACAAAAACAAAAACTATTCTGGACTCTAGGTGATGACCTAATATTGTTCCCTGGAATGATTTCAAGTGATTATTTGCACCAGTGAGGAAAGAGCCACTGAGTAGCTTGTTGATGCACATGCACTGATTGTGCTTAGCTGAAGATCAGGAGTCATGGTGGTTCTCCAGCCCTCTCCTGTGCAGCATTTCTTGTCCATACTCTTTTTCATGTTCTGTTATTACCACTTTGATCTCCCTGATCTCTCAGCTATCTTCTCAACTAGGAGAGACTGTCAGACTCCCAACAAGATTCTCCCTTCCTGAGTTGCAACCTCGGAACTCTGCCCAGTTAGTTGGAGAGTTGGAGCAGTTGTGCTTTTTATCTTGTTTCCATCTTTTAGAGATCTTTGTCATCTTTGCCTGGCTTTCAATGTCTTGAGAAACATTGTTTCATGATTTGCAGTTTTTTAAGATGTTTCCATTTAGATGATCTTTGTTCTATTAAAAAATAATTTTTGAATAAATGAATTTTTGAATAATTTTTGAACCATTCCCATGGTTCAGAAATTTTAAAAATATGTATTCATTTATCTCCCTCTGATCCTTTTCCACCCCCAAACTAGTCCTCATTGCCCCAATAAAAAATTAAGGTATTAGTGTATCATCTTTATTCATATGCAAGTAAATAAAAACCACAATCTCACTCCCCTTCTATTACCTTCTTTGTGAAGAATTTACATGCTATTTTGGACCTTATTCTTTTTAATTTAACCATCTATATTAAGGATTTTTCCTTATTGGTACGTAGATTGCCTCTGTACTCACAAGCTCACACACACTCAAACACACTTTTTAACAGCTATGTATTGTATTAGATTTATCATCAGATATTTAACCAATTCCCAGTTGTCAAAGTTAAGTTCCTTCTAATCTTTTGCTATTAAGAATAATTCAGTAGCTATAGTCTTGTATAAGTTATTTTGCACGTATCTGAATGACACAACTTTTAAATCCATTCTCAGAAGTTGATCAGAGTTTATGCAGTTGTAATCTTAATAGCTGTTACCAAATTGTCATCCCAAGGGATTAAACCATTCTTTCATAAACTTGTTAGAAAAATGCCTAATAAACCCATAGTTGTATCTACAGGATGTATCAAATGTTTGAATTTCTGTTAATCAGATAGGAAGAAAATGTTACCAATAATATGCTATAGTTTTAATTTTTATTTCTGTTATGAATCAGATTGAAAAATCTATGTTTAAGAGCTGTTTATACTTTTCTGTTTATCTACTTTAAATTGTTGGTCATCCAATTCTTTTAATAATATGAAGTTAAAAGATGTTAGTAATTAAAAGATGTTAGTAGATAACTTTATTGAATGGCAGTTAACCAGGATAGTCTACAAGTGAGATAAAGATAAAATATAATTATGCTAAATTTAATCAACTCTTTAGTAATTCTAATGTCATTACAAAGTACATAGATCAAAGGTTGGACTAATTGATTTTTTTAGAAAAAATTCACAAAAGTTAAGACCAGGTTAATCTAAGATTTTTAGCCTAAGGGTAATGTTCCAAAATTAATTTAATAAATGTTAAAAATATCATTTCTTCTAGAAAACATATATATTTGAGAAACATTTATATTCCATAAGCAATGGCAATTTCCAGAATAATTTGAGAGGAATAGGGGAGAGAATATTTTAAATTTATACTGAATTAAATATATTTTGTCCCAAACATAAGACTAATAAACAACAAAAAAGAATAATAAACAAATTTATGCTTATGTGACAAGATGTAGTTCTTCATTCATTGTATCTTTCTTGAGAAATAAGGAATTTGGAGATATTTTTGTAACTTTGAATAACAAAACCTTTTCTCTGCCTCATTGCAAATGGCCTCTTTTTGCTTCTGTAATTTACAATTGACAACCTGTGGACAAGTAATTAGGGAGAGAGTTGCTTTACGAAATGAGTGAAGTAATAAAATAGAACAGTGGTTTGTATATATTTTGTTAAGTCAGTATATATAAATTAGAAGTCTGGTTGTATTTATGCAATTGAAAATATATTTTTAGAGCTGCATCAATATGGAGAGGCATCCAGCACACATCCGTCAGGTATGATGTCATTCCAGAATATTCTCTGGTATTGTTTTGCTGTTTTATTAGTCAACCAAATTTATATTCATTAAATTTGTTTTTGTTTTTTTTTCCTCCATTGCCAAAATGTTGAGCAGCATGCCATTGTGAAGTTAGCCACATTCTAGCAATCCCCAATAGTTAATGCTTGCATTTGGATATTTATCAGGGAAAAAAATTATTGTCTTACTGATTTTTAAGCATTGATTTTTAGCATTTTCAAAGTTTTTGAAAATGTTCTCAATGCTTTCTATTAAAATCACCTAATGTTATATAGCTAAAATTGTATCATGCCCCCAAACTTACTGGTAATTATTTTAGTATCCATCAGTCATGTTAGTGTTCACCACATTAATATCTGCTTATACTGTTTGAATTTCTTATTTGGTTATAGTTGTAGAAGTATATGATAAATAGAAAAATAACATTGGTATTTTTGACTAACTGTGTGCCTTCCTGCTTCTTAAGGTTTATTGACTGATTAATGCTGAGGCTATTCTTATTTTAAGAAAGCAGTTGATCTGAACTTACCGTTGAGTCTCAAATTGTTTATGCGATATGTTTACTTTAATTAGAATTCAAATGGAAGTTAATAAAAGATTTCAAATATTAGAAACCTTAGCCAGCTGTGTTAACTGACTTATTAATAAAGCAGATTTAAAAGAAATGTACTTTTTTTGGGGGGTGTTGGTTTTTTCAGACAGGGTCTCACTGTGTAGTTGATACTGACCTGGAACTCACTATGTAGCCCAGGCTGGTCTTGAACTCACTGCAATCCTCCTTCCTCCACCTCCCGAAGGCTGGGATTACAGGTGTGCACCACCACTCATGGCTAGCAATGTACATATTTAAATGAGTTTAAATTGGAAAATGGTTGAAAGGCTTTTTCTGTATTTGTTTTACAATTTAATGCTGATTGAATTGTATAAATCAGAATAAGATAATTTTTTAAAAACATTTTCTTATTTTGGCTAATATAAATATTTTTTAAAATATTACTAGAGATTAAAATTGAGTTTTAAATTTTTTAAGGTTACTAAGTATATTTTATATTTGACTTCAGTAGAACTTCTGTTTGTATTGGTTTCAGAGCCTCTTCACAAAGTCAGTCCTAAAATATTTGAAATATATGCCTTAAATCTACTGAATATATTATTTCAGGATGTTAATTGGAAAGTGATATTTAATTGTATTAAAAGTTATGCAGTGGTGGTTAGAAAATCAAATGAAAAGATTGGGGGAAAGTAGAACAATGGTGGAAGAGAATGATTGTCAGGCTGTTGACTAAAATTTAGAAGTTAAAATATAAACATTTTAAATACAGGGGCTGGAGATTTAGCTCCGTGGTGCCACTGCCTGCCTCACAAGCACAAGGTCCTGAGTTTGATCCCTGGTACCAAAAAAAAAAAGAGCATTTTAGATACAATATTTCTTTTTGTTCTGATGCCACTTATTCTATCAATATATTTTAATAATTTGATTTTTATTTATAATATCAGAAGTATTAAACACTTGTTAGATTCTAGTTAAATCACCGTAGTTTGAAAAGGACTTCAAAAATTCAGTGGCAGATGATAAATCTGTAGTATTTTTCATTGTGTTGTGTGTTTTAGGTATTTGTGAAGTGTCATTTTGATTACAATCCATACAATGATAACCTCATTCCCTGCAAAGAGGCAGGACTGAAGTTTTCCAAAGGAGAAATTCTTCAGATTGTAAACAGAGAAGATCCAAATTGGTGGCAGGTTAGTATGCATCTCAAAAGTTCCATAACTGCTTTTCTATTTTTAATCTTAGATCTGGCCTGTATCTGAATATTCAGGAAGAAGGTATTAGCATTTGTTCAATGATTTTTCCATCATGAACAGTTCCTGCAACATGGCTACTAATTTTGTGGACAGAAGACCAAATTGAGAGGGATTTGTGAGTAGCTATTAATAAATGCAGAATTAACCCACCTGTGGTTCTGTCCTGTTGGTTTAGGGATTAGGCATATTGGTTATTTCACACGGGTGACTGTATTAACATATGCTCTTGTGCAAAAACTTACTTGAGGTCATCCCTTATGAATGTTTAGTTTTGGTTTAATGAAAACGCTTGTCTCCCTCCCTCCCACCCACTCCCAGATATGTTCATGACAAGTTTTAAAACATGATTTCTTAAGGTCATAAATGTGTTTGCCCACCTCCTCACATTTATTGAGAAATTGCTCCATCAATTTTGTTTTGATTTGGATTATAACCTGTGTATATGGAAAGAGATGCATGTTATCATTTTATTTTCCCCACCCTATTTTCCAGAAATTTATGTGAAGTTTTTTCTTTTCCCTATACTAATATTGTTTTAAGAAGTCTCTAGAAGCAGTAATAAGTCTGTTTTGGCAATTATTTACAATAAGCTAATAATCACAGTGTTGAGAATTGGAGAAACTAACAAATCAGAAAGTCAGAAATCTTTTAAACTATCAGAGCAAATGTCAGTCTCATTAAAAAACAAACTGGTTAAAGAAGATGTGGTTTTTCTATAAAATGGAATATTACTCAGCCATAAAGAATGAGAAAATAGATTCATTCATAGGAAAATGGATACATATTGAAGATATACTCCTAAGTGAAATAAATAAGTCACACATGTGCAAATATGGAATAGTTTCCCTGGTGTGAATAATCTGCAATAAAACATAAGATCCTAATAAGATTACTGTCATTTAGAAATGAGAAGAAAGGAGCTAAAGGTGTAGGGAAGGTGGGATGGGTAGGGGAAGGGTAATAAGGGAAAAGAAAAAAATGTGAGATATTGAAAAGATGAAAATAAAGTGTTTGTAGATGGGGAGGGGAGGAGGGGATGAAGGGAGGGCAGGGGTAAGGGGAAAAAATGAGAAGACTTGTCATGTAGAGGTACAAGATCCCAACAATGAATGTAACTGTACTGTATACCTAAAATGTACCAATAAACTCAATTAAAAAAACAAAACAAGGTGTAGGGCCAGGGATTTAGCCCAATGGCACTGCACCTGCCTTGCAGGTGCAATGTCCTTAGTTTGATCCCCATTACCAAAAAAAGAAAAGAAAGAACAGGTATAAGAAGAAAGAACCAAGGAAATCTTAGCACTAAACTCTAATGTTAACTGAGATGTTACTGAAAACTCATATTAGCTCTAATACATTATATTGGCTTCTAAGGATAAATGGTTCATAGTGTGAGAGCAGTCTTACTAACCAGTGTGTCTGCAATTTAAATCAAGATCTTATATATAAGGGCACTATGTGGTAAGAAAACTTAAGAAATGGTAAGTTAAATGGAATCATAATTTTGAGAGATACCTACTGAATTTCTTAGAACCTTCATTTTAAAAATCTTTCTGTGGCTGTTCATTGAATTTTTCTGATTTTTCCTCTCTTTTTTAATCAGTCATTATCTCTTAATTTTCATTTCTAATCCTGTCACCATTATCTCAGTCTCTTTTTCCAGTTTAGCAGTCTATTACTTTAATTCTAACTTTCAATATTGCTAAAAGTGATACCAAATTTTCTATGCCAGTAATAAGGATAAGATACTAACTTTGTGAGATAGTCCACTAATAGCCAGTTCTTAAACCACCATTTTTAAATATCAGTTATTTTTTACTTTAGAAGATTTTGACCTTGAATAAATGAAGTTTTATCTCATAGAATATTCAGATTCTTGTTAGTATAAATTGAGATCTCTGTATTCCCTATATTGTCTGCTTTTCATTGATTTTATCTCGAGAAATAGAGATGATTAGGGTTGTTAGTAACTGTCTTACTAAAGAATGCTAGTTGAAATTTGCTCTTAACACATCATACTATAAAATAGCATTTCTTTCATTCCCTTCTTGAACTTATAAATACTTAAGTCTTATAAATAAAAAGCTTTTGTAATTTAAGGAACCTGTATGTACCTTTGTATTTTGGTCTCAGAATTTCACTGCCAGATGCCATATACAGTACAAAGAATTTTAGGTGCAAACTGATTCCTCGATCCTAAAGTGTTTAAATAACTTAACCAACAATATTGTGAAGTTAAATCTAACAGTTATTTTTAAAGGCAAATGTGACTATTTTTTCTAAGCGCTTCCTGACTTACTAAAAAATGGTTTCAAATTTTGATCACTGAGATATATATAATGTATTGATTTCATTCTAGGCTAGCCATGTGAAAGAGGGAGGAAGTGCTGGTCTCATTCCAAGCCAGTTCCTGGAAGAGAAGAGAAAAGCATTTGTTAGAAGAGACTGGGACAATTCAGGTGATGAATTCCATATAATAAGTAACAAGCAGACCTTTGTGCTTACCTTTTCTTTTCTTTTCTTTTCTTTTTTTTTTTTCTTTTTTTTTTTCTTTTTTTTGCTCTTTTGTCTAAATAAATAAATGAACTTATTTAAAATCTATCTGAATTAATCACTCTGATCTGCTTTCTCTTCCAAAGTAATCTTTTTGATCCCTTTCTGCCATCTCCTGGTAGAGTAGCAAAATTCAGTGGTTTAAGGCACTCTTGCTGGGCCTTGGGTTTCCTAGGATGAGACGTTGGGAAAATTATTTTCTCACGTCATAGAATATGACAGAGCAGTCTTACTGTATTATTTAAGTGACATTGGTCTTGTCATTCTTCAGGCCCTTTTTGTGGAACTATAAGTAGCAAAAAAAAGAAAAAGATGATGTATCTCACAACCAGAAATGCAGGTATGTTTGAAATACTTTTGTGAAAAGTCTAAGCAGTTTATGCTGTTAATATGGTATAAGCTCTAAATTTATAATTTAAAATGAATTTAAATAAAAGTAATACCTAATTGCAAGAATATGGCATGTGAACAATAACATAAATTATTTAAATCTTTATATTACGTATAGTAACTGTACTTTGTTTTGTAAGTATAGCTTATAACAAAAAAATGAACTGGTTAGGATTTGTGCTGTTAGGTTTTATACTTGTACTGATTAGGAGCAATGTCATAAATATTGAAACTGTTTAGATAATTTTGAAAGTAATTAATGACCATTTCCTAAAGGGCAGGATCTCTATATGAAGAGATAAAAAGAAGATACTAAGAGAACTGGGATTAAGGAAAAGTATTTTCTGCCCTAACATTGTCCCTGAGACTTGTGGGAAAATAGCATTGAACCAGATGAATCTTAGTGTATTCTAAAAGGATTCTTTCTTAAATCTTTTAGTCTTAAAGATTTTTAAAAAGAAATAACTGTGTGCGTGATGGGTATGTTAATTAGCTTGATTGTAAGATCATTTTTCAGTGTACAGATATCTCAATACATCAATTTGTATACCTTAAATATACATATATAATTTGTATTTATCAATTATACTTCAATAAGATGGAAAAGGTTTTTAAAAAATTAATAAAACCTGAGACCTGGATTGGGTACACCTTCCCTGTTTAAAAAAATAATAATAAACATGGAAACTACTCTATACAAAGTACTTTCTTGACTTAAGAGCTATGTCTATACTTGTAATAAACTAAAGAAGCCAACACAAAGGAAATAATATAGGAGGGAGACACAGGCCTTCTCTCTCTTGTTGCTGGTTTAATCTGTGAAGAAATTGTAGAGAAAGAATGGTTGAGATAGTAACCTGAAGAAGTGGTGTTATTACCTCAGATTGAGACTTCTAACAGTAATGATAGGTAATATTTTTAATTCACTTTGATGTTACTTTTCATTAAATATATGTCCCTAAAGCATTCTTGCAAAATAGAAAATTTGCGATTTTCTCATTTGACAAAGATTATATTTTGGAATGTGTTTTTACTGAAAATAATTTGGACCCTGTATTTTATTTTATACATAAATTTCAAGATCTTAATATTTGAATGTTAATATGTTACCTACACAAATTTTACACAGCATTCATTTATGTCGCTGGAAACACATTATTCTATGCAACTTAAGCAGCTATGCTATGTGTACTCCTGTCTTCCATACCTGATGTATACTTACTAATATAAATTACATGAACTGGTCTGTAACTTGATTATTTATACTAGAGCAATTCTTTTTACTAATGAATTGTTAATAAAAAGTGGTTAGTAGATAGAATATGTGATAATAAGGATTAAACATAGGAATGTTTCTAGCTTTGTTAGGTAAAATTTAAAGACAAATACATGGGAACAGATGTTTAAATCAAGCTATAAAATAATTTATTATACTTTATGAGATTTGTGAAAACAAATCTGTGCTAAGTGGGAACAATTCAAGTGACTCTTGTCAAGACAACTATGTTGGAGAGTAACAGGGTTTTATGTATATAAAATATAATTGAATGTTTTCCCATTTTCTTTCACATTTAGAATTTGATCGTCATGAAATCCAGATATATGAGGAGGTAGCCAAAATGCCCCCCTTCCAGAGAAAAACGTTAGTATTGATAGGAGCTCAAGGTGTGGGCCGAAGAAGCTTGAAAAACAGATTCATAGTATTGAATCCCACTAGATTTGGAACTACTGTGCCATGTAAGTCTTTTGTGTTTTCTTTTCTATTTATTGGTGGAAAAGAGTATGCTTGTGAAGCAGATGTAATACTAATGAATTTTGATTAGGGCAGTGAAAATGAATTACATAGGCAATATTTAAAAAGCTGATAATTCTATAGCTGTCATAAAATATTGCAAAAGTTCTATTCCCTTAGCTTTCTGGTGGCATTTACTTTTCCAAACTATTCATTCCAGAAATATTAGTCAAATGCAAGTATTTCAGAGTTGTGGAAAACTTTTATTAATTTAATGTTTTCTAGTAAAATTGATATGTATTTGAAAGGTTATATTTTTTGCCTATTCTAGTATAAAAAGGGGGAATATATAGCAAATCTTCAGACACACTCGGGTAGTATTATTCTTGTGAATTTATGTGGAGTGGCTTGTATCTCAGTCCTACAAGATCATAAAACCTGAGTTTTGATAGCACAAGAACAGTTCATCATCCACAGCAAATGGCATTCATTAAAATTACAGATATCGATATATAAAATTAATACTAATAATAAGTACAACCAATAAATGAATCAAACACTTTGTGGTCTGCATTTTCCCCTATTTTTTGCATATTTACATAGAAAGTTAATGATGTCAGAAGTATATTTCATGAGTGGATTAGATTGAGAGTTGTATGATATTGCTGACATTGTAATGACTGCTATAAATTTCTTCTGTGTTTTAGAAATGCACAATCCTTTGCTCTTTCCATTAAACAAAGCAGGAGGCAAATTAATGTTGCCTTTTGCTGTCCACCTCCCTCTTAACGCAGTATTCCTTTAAGTGTATTAATGCTGTAAGACTCTTTTCAGTCAAATCTTAATCTAAGGCCACCCCCATCTCTTTTAAATGAATTTTCTCTTGTTTTTGTCCATTATGCTTTGAGGTTTAATTTTCAGTGAGTCATCTTACTGCTAAAATTCTTTGAGATTAGGAAATAACCTTGTCATTGCCTTCATGTATCCTTTCAGAATAAGGTTTTGGGTTCCATTGTAAACACTGTAAATTACTAAATTCAGATTAATCCTAGTTAAACCCATAGAAAAAATTTTCATCACAACAAAAGTATTTTAAAGTAGCAAATGTGAAATAATGAAGAACTTTGTTTTTATTTTTGTCAGATTAACATGTGCAGAATAGATATATTATGCAAGTAGTTCTTAAGAACAAAAACTTGACCCTACCTCTTCCCCGCTTACCAAAATAATTGCTTTTCCTTCTTTTTGCCATTTCTTTTGGTAGTTTTCCATATTTCTTAGTAATGTCTTTAATCTGCTATTTCCTGCTTTATCTAGTTTAGGCTTTACCTATTGACTTTCTGACTACCCTTCTAATATAAAATAATTATATTTTCAGTTCAATTTTGCTCCCTCAAGGAATCACTTCCTTTCCTGCTATCCAGCAATCACTACAGTCTTTTTCCCCATTTTTCACTTGACTTTATGTACATGTGCTACAATATATTGTTGTTTGAACCAGACTCACTCAGTTTGTCATGTTTTCTTCTTGAAGACTGGCCTTTATCTCATAACCTTGAGTCTTCCCTTTGCAGTGAGGACTACATACTCTCTCTTCTGGCTATGCATTTGTTACTACTAGGGTATTTTCTTTGTTTTTCTGGGGTGAAGCTGTATGAATGCTTGTATTAACTTGGCTTATTGCCTTGTTTTGCTGAAGTGAATCCTCTTGAAGCTGCGCAGGAAGAGGTATATTTTTTATACTGTATTTGATTGATTAGCTGAAAAGCAAAAGTTTAGGATTATAAAATTTAAAAGACTACTCTTGAATCCAGTTCTTTTGAAAAGTTCAATGCTATTTCAATTCCTGTTCTTTCATATGGGACCTGATTTTTCGTTCACAGATATTCAGCCTTGTTTTTATCTTTTTAGGTATTCTGAAATTTAATAATTATGTGCTTGTATTCGCATCTTTTTACATTTATTGTGGTGATGATTAGTGTATGTATCAAGCTCCAGATTTATTCAGCTCAGGACAGTTTTCTTATTTCTTGATTTATCTCTGTTTTCAGTTTACTTTTTCTGAAGTTCAAGTTAGCTGAGACATTGAACATCTTGAATTCTCTCTCATTTTTAATCATAGTTCTCATTTTTTATCTTTTATTTTACTCTTTAAAGATTACCATGTTTTTTTTATCTTTCATGAGTAATTATCATGGTAATCATATTTTTCACTTTGTGGTTATTTTCGGTTGAGTCTTCCCCCACCTAGTATTATCATTTTTCATCTTTTTTTTTCTTTTATTCTCTTTCTTTTCTTTCTGTCTGTCTGTATCTCTCTCTGTCTTATTTTCATAAGCACTCTCTTCTATATACCTATGGGCTGGGGATTTAGCTCAGTCGCACCACACCTGCCTCGTAAGCCCAAGGTCCCAAATTCAATCCCGGCCCTGCAAAAAAAAAGAAAGAAAAAGAAAAGAAAAAAGAATAACAACCTATATACTTAAGAATACTACATAGGATAATTATTTTTAAATTTTTTTTAAACTAAGTTTTCTGCTTCTGAGTTACTTTTTTTCTTGATTATAGTATATCTGTGCTTTCTCTTTCATGTTGGATGATTTTTTTTCTTAGTATGTACTAATCCTTGGTTGTGGATCTAGACTTTAAAGTGTTAATACTGATTGGAATATTTGTGTACTTGGGCCTAGCTTTACGTTAGCATACGGCAAGGAGCCAGGTATTTATTGGAGAAGCCCAAAATGTTGGTATAAGGAAAAAAAATGGCAGCTATTTCCCTAGAGAAGAATCTCCAGATTATTACTACTGAGAATATTCTCTAGTCAAGATAAAGGAAGGGGTGATACAAATCACCTTGATCCATATGCATAATTACTCCCCCCTAACTTTTTAGTATCTTGCCCTGAAAAAGCGTGTCATTTCCTGGTTCCTGTGTGGAATAAACCAGCCCAATTCTCATCCATAATTCCTTTCCAGTACCTTAACTTGTAGCTGCTTCTGCTTCTCACAGTCAGTTGCCTGAAGTTAGTTTTAATGGGATATGGCTTATCGTGTCCTAGGATTTGCTTTTTCTTTTGTATTCATTTCATCTTAGTTTCAAGGTTTTTTCCCTTTGAATTTTTTTCGTCTTTATAAAATTAAGGCATGTCATATATAACAAAGCTGGTTTAATAATAGTAGTGATAAAAATAAGTAATAAACTACCCAAAATGTTCTTGCAACCTAGAATTTCAATTTAGCTTTCAGTTATGCATCTCTCCAAAGGTAGTTACTGTACAGAACTGTATATTAATTATTCCTTTCTCTTCATTCTTTGCCCTATTTATTTTATTTGTCTTTATTTCATTGTCTTATTGCTTTAGAAGTTTCTCAGTGCTCTTGTTTGTTTTGTTTTGTTTTTCTCATTATGTAGTTCAGGCCAGCCTCAAGCTCACAAAAAATTGAGTATAACTTTCTAGTCACTTTCAGTTATAGTTGTATCACTTTGATAAATAAAACTCACTCAGGTATTTAAAAAAGGACAGAGGAGCTGGTCGTAATTCACACCTTAAGTCTTGTTCATCTGTGTTCTCTTACTGACAGTTTCTTCCTAGTCTGTAGCTCAAGACCTGCATTATGAAGAGTAAGCTATAGTTTATTTTGCTAGTTTCCCTTCACATATCCTCTGCTACTTTGGGTTTCTAAGGAGCAGGACAGGATGGAGGGGCACTAAAGGAAAGTGCTGTCTTATAAAATCCTGCCTATTGAAGTCTTTTATGTCTTGATTGTTCAAATACATCTCTTCAATGTGACCTGTTTGCAAATTCTTTGAAGACTCTATGGATACTTCCATACTGTACATTTTCCTGGCAAGAGCATTATAATCTCCAAGGACCTTTGGACCCTTATACCAAGTTCCTGTACACTTATATGTACTTCCTATAGTCATCCCTGGATAGATTCTAAGACCATCCCTCCTACTCATTGTAGATGCTAAAATCCACGGACCCTCAAGTCTCATATAAAATGGCATGGTATTTGCATATAACCTGTGCATATCTTCCTGTCAACTTTAAATCATTTCATTTTCTTATAATACCTAAATACGAATGCTACATGAACAGCTGTCATACTGTATTTTTTAAATTAATTTTATTGGTACATTTTAGGTATACAATATAATGACATTTATCATTGGAAATTCGCACATTTACATAATGTATCTTGGTTCTTATTTTTTCCCCATTACCCTGACCTTCCTTCAACCCTTCCACCTCTCCCTATTTACAAAGACTTTGTTTCTATTTTTTCATTTTCTCATATTAATTCATTCCCTGCTTTCCCTCCTACTTCTCCTTCCCCTTTGCCACTTTTCTTCCTATTTCACATTACCTATTTTTTTTTTAAGAGTAGGAAAATTTTATTGAAGGAAAGAAAGCTTCTGTCTAAGACCAGAAGGGGGACCAAAAAGTGAGTTTGCCCGCCCACCCCACTTTTCAAAGATATTTTATACAGTCAAACCGTGTGGTGTGGCTGGTACACAATGAGACAAAACTATAAGACCCAATGGAAAATTATGAGGTGGGTTCACATTACCTATTATACTTTTCAGTCCTTATTTACACTTTCAGTTTCTCATACCAGAGAAACTATTCAGTCCTTATTTACACTTTCAGTTTCTCATACCAGAGAAACTATTAGGTATTTACACATGTGTGTCCTGTTTATTTCACTTAAGAGTATGACCTCAGTGTGCATCCATTTAGCTATAAATGTCTCTAATCTCTCATTTTCTATGGCTAAATGGTACTCCATTTTATTTTTTAAAAATACATTGTTTTTAAAACACATTTTTTAAAATACTTCTTTATCCAGTCTCCAGTTGATGGGCAATTGGGCTGCTCCTAAGTATTAGCTATTACAAACTGTGCTGCTATGCACATGGGTACACATATATCTCTGTGATATGGTTCTTTTAATTCTTTGGGGAAGATACCAAGCCGAGTAATAACTGGGTCAAATGGAA